TACAGCTGCTGCGCAGCAATGGTCGGGGCCGGGCAATTTTAGGCAAAATTAGGCAATTCTGAGCAACACACACACTAAAACAAAGCATATCACAACATAGAAGTTACATCATATAATTATGGCATGCCCTTCAAATTGTGGATGAGTGGCTGAAGTGATCAGACTCATAATATACAAAGGAAAGAAAAAACTCAAGAACAAGAAAGTAAGAATAACATTAATGGCTAGCAATTATGAACAAACTGGCCTGATGTAGCTTAAAGCTAAACATTATCCATGGTGACAAAGATGAAAACATTTTTTAAAATGTAAAAGTAGCTATTGGATAGACTCTATATTGACTGATAGCTAAGCCAAATAAACAGGGAAAAGAGACAAGGGATAACAGGGAAAAGTGTTGATAAAGAGTATTTGTCTCTCCGAAAAACTCCCTGGATCATAATTATTTTAACCTTGGTAGTCTCTAATCCACATACCATGATGCCTGAACATAGGACTTTCACATTAGAATATCCGTTCTGCCTTAGCTGAGGCTTGAACTCACAACTTCTGAGACTGAGGTCCATCTCCTATTTCACTGAGCTAATTGGCAAGTTACAGTTCATGTTTGGCTTCACAGATTGACTAAGCCAAGCATCAGGGTGCTAGACAGTAGCCATCCATGCCACGGAAAAGCAAATTTCAAAGTGAAAGTTCCGAAGCTGTAGCACATATGGTTGATTTGTTATGAATTTTCAAAGTTTTGAAATTTAGAGGCTTGCTGTAGCGCCACCATCAGGACTATTGTCTTGTGTTTCCAGTTGAGGACATCTGGCATGGGACTGGACCTTTATGAAAAGTTTGGGTAGATTTCTCATATGGAAATGTTGCACGACCTGAGGCTTGAACTCACAATCTTCAAGACCAAGAACCAACCTTTATCTCACTGAGCTAATTGGCAAACAGAAATGTCACATGTAGCTTCACAAATTGACTAAGCCAGTCACCTGTGTGCAAGACAGCAGCTGTTCAGTTATTAAGACAAAAATCTGAAAATACACAAATTGCATCTAAACAGCATGGAGATGTTGGTAATTTGTTTTTAACAATGATTTATTGGCTCCATAAGTGAAAAACTGATGTTTAAAAATGCCATTTTTGCATTGACTCCAATTGTTCGCATGAGAGCGAAATTCAAAATGCTGTAAAAAAAAATTAAGTTTTTGAGATAAAATTCTGATATTTTCCAAACATCATCTACCATGACTCCAAAATTTTGTCATTTTTTTAATGAACATTGAAAATGTATTTAGCAAGAATTTGCAAGTATATGGTTACATATACGGCCCTAATTTACGACCCTAATAAATAATAATAAAAAGCAACGCGATTACAATAGGGTCCTATGGACGACTTTGTCGTCGCTCAGACCCTAATAAAAAATGCTTGCATTTCAATAGGGTCATTGCACCACTAGGTGCTCGGGTCCTAATAATAATAAACAGCGCGATTACAATAGTCCTTGCATCGCTAGGTGCTCGGGTCCTAAAAATAATAAACAGCGCGAATACAATAGGGTCCTCACGGACGACTTCGTCGTGGCTCAGGCCCTAATCATTCGAAAAACAATAGGGTTGTAGATGACTTGCAGTCGTCGCTTGGACCCTAATAACAATAATAATAAAAAGCGCGATTACAATGGGGTCCTACGACCAGTCGTCACTCGGGCCCTAATAAATCCTTGCATTTCAATAGGGTCCTCGCACCGCTAGGTGCTCGGGCCCTAATAATAGGTTACTGTGGACCTATATGCCATGCCTTTTAATAAAATTACCAGAGGAGTTCGCTGAAAAACAGGTAAAGTCAGCCTGAATTACGCATGCGTCCCCGGTGAAAATCGCAGTTGTTGCTCGGGCCCTAATAATAATAATAAATGGTGCGATGTCAATAGGGTCCTACGTGGACGACTTTGTTGTCGCTCAGGCCCTAATAAACAGCAGGATTTCAATAGAGTCCTCTGGATGACTTGCAGTCATTGCTCGAGCCCTAATAACAATAATAATAATAAACAGCGCAATTTCAATAGGATCCTACGTGGACGACTTTGTCGTCGCTCGGGCCCTAATAATAAACAGCGCGATTTCAATAGGGTCCTATGTGGACGACTTCGTTGTCGCTCAGGCCCTAATAAAAATCCAAACAAAACCAATAATACAGTAAAGTCAGCCTGAATTACGCGTGTGTCCCTGGTGAAAATCGCTGACATGCATGGGAAATACAGCTTCTATTGGCTCACCATAGCTTACTGTCAGGACTCAGGGACCAGAATTCGGAATGGCGGACCGTAGGGATGGTGATATTTCAGAGTGGCGGCCTGTAACCGTTGGTTAAATGGCCCGTTCCGTTGGTATTTGGATAAGTGGGGCTTTACTGGTATAATGCAATAGCACCACCCAGTGGTGAAACCCATGTACACGTTTACACGAAAAAAATGACCCACTCTAAATGTTTAGAGATTTTTGTACATGAGCTCACCCCTAGTGCTCGGGCCCTAATAATAATAATAAACAGCACAATTTCAATAGGGTCCTACGCGGATGACGTCGTCATCGCTTGGGCCCTAATAAATAATAATAAACAGCGCGATTACAATAGGGTGCTACGGACGACTTGCAGTCGTCGCTCGGACCCTAATAATAATAAATAATAATTAGCAGCGCAATTTCAATAGGGTCCTATGGACGACTTGCAGTCGACACTCGGACCCTAATAAATAATAATAAACAGCCCGATTTTGATAGGGTCCTACGCGGATGATTTGCAGTCGTCGCTCGGACCCTAATAAATAATAATAAACAGCCCAATTTCAGTAGGGTCCTATGCGGACGACTTGCAGTCGTCGCTTGGGCCCTAATAAACAGCGCAATTTCAATAGGGTCCTATGGACGACTTGCAGTCGTCGCTCTGACCCTAATAACAATAATAATAAACAGCGCGATTTCAATAGGGTCCTCCGGACGACTTGCAGTCATCACTCAGGCCCTAATAATAAACAGCGCAATTTCAATAGGGTCCTACGGAGGACTTGCAGTCGTCGCTCGGACCCTAATAATAATAAATAATAATTAACAGCGCAATTTCAATAGGTTCCTACGGACGACTTACAGTCGTCGCTTGGACCCTAATAAATAATAATAAACAGCCTGATTTCAATAGGGTGCTACGGATGACTTGCAGTTGTCGCTTGGACCCTAATAAACAGTGCAATTTCAATACTAATAATAATAAATAATAATTAACAGTGCAATTTCAATAGGGTCCTACGGACGACTTGCAGTTGTCGCTCGGACCCTAATAAATAATAATAAACAGCCCGATTTCAATAGGGTCCTACGTGGACGACTTGCAGTCGTCGCTCGGGCCCTAATAAACAGCGCAATTTCAATAGGGTCCTATGGACGACTTGCAGTCCTCGCTCTGACCCTAATAACAATAATAATAAACAGCGCGATTTCAATAGGGTCCTCCGGACGACTTGCAGTCATCACTCAGGCCCTAATAATAAACAGTGCAATTTCAATAGGGTGCTACGGACGACTTGCAGTCGTCGCTCGGGTCCTAATAATAAAAATCTGAACAAAAACAATAGGTTTCCCAGCACCGCTGGTCCTGGGAAACGCGTCTGCTTGCATATGTGTTCCCCAGGCCCCGCGGGCTTGGACCCCTAAATATAAAAAAACAGATCCCCCACTTAATGTTTTCCCCATCAATGCTGATATTCAGCCTTTGCTGTGAAACCAGTAGAGGTTGACATAAATTCTTCTGGATGCACACAGTGTGAGCTCATACTGATGGTTTACTCTGTCTGTCTATTGTTCCCCCAGGAACCCTCTGAAGTTTATTGTGGAGGAAGTAGCCAGTGTTCAGCTGTACCCCGAGACAGACGAGCCAGTCAACATACTTAACATAAAGAGAGGAATCATTTCAGCTCTCATTGTGCCAGTCATGGAGGATGAACAGAACAGCCTCATGGTTGGTATCTTCTCATAACCCATGGTGCCTTTTCTAAAAATTTAACAGAGAAAGCACAAGTACAGCCTGAAGGCCAGTAGATAAATACACATTATATTACATATAAATTGAATGCATTATGTATACATTATTTACAATAAAGCAGATAAAGAACATGCAGGATAATATGAGAAGTGAAAGGAGAAGTAAATGTACAAGTAGGGCTGCTCAATTAATTCAATTTTAAGAAGACAGAAATGACATGCTGTCGTGTAAACAACAAAAGTCATCACGTGCGCCGCATAATCGTTTGCATAATCGTGATTTCAATTTTGACCAAAATAATTGTGATCATTATTTTTTCTATAATCGAGCAGCCCTATGTACAAGCAAATAAAATTGCAGAAAAAGTAAAGATCAAATTGTGGTAAAATCTTGTAATACGAGCACTTACCATGAGGCATTGTCTTTTGATTTTTAAAGCTAATACTTCTGAGATAAATCCACCATTTGCTGTTTGTTTTCTTTTCCTCAGAGCACAGTGTATGGCCAGTGTTTAACTGACTATATAGTGAATGACGGGAAGGATATCGCCACAGATGTGACACTGTCCAGATATCTGTCCCAGTGCGACCGGTTCTACAGCAGAGAACTAGTCAACAGCCCCCTGGCCCTGTTGCAAAAGCTGGTGAGATATTAACCCCTGCATCTGTAGTCTCTAAGTGGATACTGTCTTTAATAACATTATATTGTGTAATGAAGGCTCTGGTAAAATATGATGCCTGGTCATAAAAAGGTGTTGCTTTGAGAATAATTGTATACAGACAATATGACTTTACTAAACCAATAAAGTACAATATTTCCTATGTAGAGCTCTCCTGGACCTATCAGGACTTCTAGCTGTAGAGCTCTCTTTGCTTTCATATATGTACCTGGAAGTCAAAAGTCAGTAGTAGTAATAATAACAATCATAACTATACACTTTATTTATATCTTTTCAAAACAGAGTTACAAAGTGCTTTACAGAACAAGATAAAAATACCATACATCATCGAGATAAAAACAGTAAAAACATAAATAAAAACAAAGAGTGGCACAGATGGCATGTTGAAATGTGTTTTAATGATAATTAAAGCTGCAAGCAGCTGTGACCGGGCCCTCGCTCTCCCGCGTCTACGCAGGGGGGCAGCAGCGCGCATCACTGAAGCGGTTATGTGAAAACTCAGAGTAAGTTAACCCTGACGTGGTGTGACGTTTCATCTTCCTACTCCAAAAAAAAAGCTATGGGAAGGGTATGTTGAAAATTTCAAGGGGGCGCTATAGAGGCATTTTGTCACCCCCCATGGGC